TAGCATAGAAAAATATTACATTTGATAAATTTTTGATACAATGCCAGATCATGTGAAAGAAGTTATTAAAAAAGAAGGACTAATAAAATAGATATAAAGTGTTATACAATAATGAAATAATGAGTTGTCTGTCATGTGAATAGTCTATGTAACATTGTAGATGTTAAAAAAAAAAAGGAGAATTATAAGCCGAAAGCATTAACGCAATACGAATCAATAAATGCTTAATGCAATAAGAGTTTCAACTTTATTGATAAATTCTAATCTAAGACAAAAAAGATTAAGTGCCCAATTGCAATAAACAAACAAGTCAATTTTATCAACAAAATGATTCTCCGGGACTTACGATCAAATCCTACAAAGATCTCAATTAAATAGTATAAGCGATTTAAGAAGTCAACTCTTTTATGAACAATTTATCATAGTCTGTTAAAATTGATTATACTTAGAGAGCATTCAATAATTATAACTTTCGGTTATGCATTATTTTTATTTGGTCTCTGAGACTAAAGATCAACATCCTTCGATCGATTATAAATTAGAATATTTAATAAAATGTTTCACGTTGGCAATTTTTATATGAAACATGGGGTTTCTTACCGAGGATCTTTATAAATATACAGTATACGCCAGGATGTTAAAATAATTCTCTAAAAAAAAAAAAAAAAGAAAAGAAAAAATCACTTTGTTTATAACTTAAATATGGTCGCAGGGAAAGCACTTCGTCTAAAACATAAACTTATTCGAGATCATTTATTCACCACCACCAATATTGCGATTTGCATTCTATTCTTCTCATATGTTTCCTACAAGTATTTTAATTCAGGGCCATTCATACCTTTACAATGTCAGCTATTGGGAATAGGATGTTTAAACACAAGAATAAATGGATTCACTACAGCCGATTTCGTAGGCGTCAAAAATATTTTCATAGAAAACTTCAAAAAAGGAGATGAAGTTGGAGCATCTGTTGCCATCTATTACGATGGTAATTTGGTAGTGGATTTATATGGTGGATATGCGGATCTCGAAAGTGGACGGGTGTATGATGAAAATACTTTGCAACACGTGTTTTCAATTACAAAAGCTATGGTAAAGTTAATAAATGATTTTTCTCAAAG